ACTGAGCTCTGCAGAGTGTAACCTTAGCCCCCTGCTCCCTACTTTATGAAAAGTCAGACAAGCTGTATAATTTCTGGACTTTGAAAAGCTGTAGAGAAGACTACGCTGACTGATCAAGCTCAAGTAGGTATTTCAGGAGGGGGGGGGGCTTGTAGGGAGCTGACATGGAATTTTTTTTTTTACCTTAATGTAGAGAATGCATTACGGTAAAAAAACTTTTACCTTCACAACCATTTTAATGGCTGAACTAGCTGATCTTTCCAAAGATGAACAAAGCTGGCATGAACTGCTTGAAACACGACCCCACAGTGTTAACTAAATTAAGATAAAACCTGAAACACTGCTTTAAACTCAGAGAGCAAAGCAAAGAGGAAGAAGTGCCAGAAGGCAACCCAAAAAAGCCCGCCTGAAGGACAGAGAGCCTGCAGCTAAACCACAAATCTCACTTGGAAGGGAGATGCACACAGGGACCTGCATAATAGAGAAGAGATCTGTGAAATATCAAAACACATCCTGTCTCTGACACTGCAGCCCCGTACTTCATGTCTGCTATGAAGTAAACATTTTCAAATGCACATAAAATACAAAAGTGTAGTCCTAGCCTCACTGGTTAGTGTCACCTCTTCTTGCAGAGCAGTATAGGAACTATAATGGTGTGTTGGAGAAAAGGTCAAAAACAAAGTAAGTATATACTAAAGACAATTACAATGTAAAAGAATTGCAATTACTAAGCCAACACACTGTCTCAAAAAAAAAAAAAAAAGTTGGAGTAGTGCTGACTTTGATAATATAGGCTGTTAAGCACGAAATACATGCAAAAAATTCATTCTCAAAGCTTGATATTAATTCATAACTTTACCAGGAATAAAGTAATGTACACGGTTCTCCACAACTAAGTCAGCAAAGGAAGAAGCCCATATAATATGTAACATTTTTGTCTTACCTGTAAAATCCTTTTCTTGGGAGTAAACTATGGGGCATAGGATAGAATCCTGGAACTCTGGGTTCAGTGGCTATTCCTCCATTATATGAAACATGTGCCAGTTACATGGGCCCAGGAGGGTGGGGCCCACTGTGCTTCCACACCCTTCCCCTGTTCTGTGCCTAAACTATAGCTGCACTTGTCACTCACAACTGCAGCAGTGTTCAGATCCATCCTGAATTTTTGCATTGTAGGGAGGGAGCAAGACCTGATGTAACACTGGGGGCAAGTCAAAATAACTCTGGGGCCCAGTAAGATTATCATTTGTCCCTGTTTCTTGGGGCAGGAGGATTGCAATTGGTTGCCCTGTTTCTTGGGTCAGGAGGATTGCAATTGGTTGCCAGACATAAGCTCCTCCCACCGGATCCAGAAAATGGAGGAAGAGAGCCAGACAGAGTAACATGATCAGTTCAGGGACAGCAAGAACAGCAATAAGCTGTGCAGGGGAGGGCTGTTTGGCTGTACTATGAGATAAAGGGGTTAATTTACTAAAGCACCTCGTCTGCAAATGATTGCAGTTGCTTGCATGACCGACAAAGAGATTTACTAAAGCACTCAGTCCACAAATAGTCACAATTCATAATTTACTAATGGTCACAAAACGTAGTGACCATCTAAATGAGTTCACCTCTTAGAACTAGATGAATAGCAGAGAAAAATCTTTTTAATGACATGATCTCAAACAATTTATACTTCCTATATATATGTTGGACATTTTTAACAATAACTGCTTTAAAAGAATTCTATATTTGTCTGTTTAAAGTGATATATTTAAAAAAAAAATCCAAACAGGCATTGACTTCACCTAGTTCAGACATCTCAGTAGTGACACGACTGAGCATGCCCAAACCAGGAAAACAAAAAACTGCCTTCACTCTGTCGGGTTTTTTTTTGTGCTATAGTAAATGCCTTTGTTGGCAAGCCTGGAAATGTCATTGAAAATAGTGAACCTGTTTCTGGAAAAGAGTGAACCTGTTTCAGGTAAAGTGTGATTATTAAACAGACTAACATTTATATATAAATAATGGTATACATCAATACTTGTAACTAAAGAACTGTTACTATACACAGAAAGACCAACATTGATATTCTAAGAACTTTTTAATTTCCTTTGTAATTTAATTTAGCTGTTTTTTTTGCTTCTTATACAATATTCTTTTTTTCTAGTTTTTTTTAAATAATGCTAGGTATTTTATTCTTTTTTTGGAGCATATATTCTCTGCAGTATATATACTTATGTGTGTACTGTCATGTGCATTGATCATGTCCAGGGACTTAAGACTTTTTAAATATACTAACTAAATGGTAGAAAAACTGCACTTGGTGCTCAGCATCTAACAAAAACCGAATTCCAAACTCCCACAGCTGTCTTCACCAACCACAAACAATAGCAGTGCTGGAGCAAAAGTAAAAGGAATACAAATTTTACACTGTGTTATAAATTCCATGTGTGTTGGTTATATACATCCCAATACAAAGGATCATAATAGTATTTAAAAAAAATGCGATATGTGTCCCAACATCATAAATACACATAAAAATGATGAAAAAAAGTTCCAGTGACACACCAATAAAGAAAAATATCAATTCATAAATCAATAAACATAGAACTGTATGGAAGTCCACGGCCTATATGTAAATGTCCAAATAAAATAATTAGTTATCTGTAGGAGGGTTCCACCATCATTGCAAATCTGGTCATATGTTTTGACTAGTGAATGACAATAAGCAGCCTTGTGAATTCTGCTTAGTCAGCGCCACATTTGTATTCCAGTTGAAATATATTGTTTGTTACACTGAGCATGCCCAAGGACTTAGGACTGATCACACCACAGAGCTGCAATCTACAGACATATGACAGCACAGAGGCTTAGTGGTTAGTACTTCTGCCTAGAATTGCTGGTTCATAACCCAACCATGGCACTACCTGCATGGAGTTTGCATGTTCTGCCTGTGTGGGTTTCCTCCCATGCTTCAAAGACATGCTGGTATTTGTTTTGGATCCTGTCTAAATTGTCCCTAGTATATGAATGTGAGTTAGGGACATTACATTGTAAGCAGGGCCTGATGTGACATACATTATGTATGTAAAGTGCTGACGGTGCTATATAAGTACCTGCACTAATAATAATGCATGTGTTTATATGCATTTTTTGCAATCTGGTACGTTTTAGATGGGTTTCACATAATGGAAACAAAAGAGCTGACATGACAAATAAAAAGTGTGTGGGCTTGCTCTTCCACCCCCCTTTCCTGGCCTGCAAGACCGTATGCTCAGATAGGGGCGTGTTAGTGATTTTGGGGGGAGGCCACACTTTCTTTTTTTTTTTGGCCATTGGGTTCCCCTTCAGATCCATTACAGATTGAAGGGCCCATGCTCTTTGGTACATGTTGGCTATGCTGTTTTCATTCTGCTGTCATTGGGGATGAGTCTCTGGTTGATATAATGCCAGCAGATGCTGTCTCCTAACAACCCACAGAATTTGGAGGCAGTAATGCATGTCAGTGCATTTAGGAGGTGTCTGGCCATGTCCCAGTGTAGGTCCATGCAGAACACATTCATCATGTTCTAATTTGGTGGGCTGCACAAGAACACACTGCACTGGGGGGAACTAAAACCAATGGAATAGATGGAAATACTATACATGTGTTTGGATTTTGGATGACGAATGTGCTTGTCAGCAATTTGGGTGAAACAGCCATCACAGATGTGATATTCCCTGCTCTGTATCCTGCACATGCCCAAAGACTTGCAACTTGTTTTTTTTTTTTTTTTTTTTTTTGCTCTGAGCATGCCCGAGACGTGGACATTTCACATTTTCTGTTACACTGCACAGGTACATATGTTTAGATAACTGTTGCTTTCTTTTTATGTATACTAATGGGGGGGGGGGGGGGATATTGTGTATGATGATTAACAGCCCATATTTGATGTTTGTTTTGTGTGCTTGCTGTAATTGTTGTGCATCTGTCTCTCAAAGTGGGTTTTTATGGGCATGGCTTAAATTCTGTGTGTATTTTTCCAGTCTGACCATGCGTTTATGGTTTGTGAGCATCTGTTAACCTTTGTTGTTACTAACAAATGTCAATTGTTCTACTCCTACAAATCCTAACTCTGATCTAAGTTGCTTAATAATGTAGACAGAATTGCAGCTTCCTGCTTACCATAATCAGAAATGAAAACGGGTGTGGGAACAAGGGCGGGGGATCTTGGTGCTATGTTGTGGTGTTTTTTTTTATACCCTGAGAATCTTGCACCTAACCACAAATTGATGGGGTGGTTGGGTAGGGTGGTGAGATTTGTTGTACTTTGTAAAATGTGTTGCCTGGTTAATATTAACCTTATTTTGTTCCCAGCCATACACTGAAAGTTAAGTTGTGATCCCTTTTAGAATGTAAGCTCTTATGGGCAGGGCCCTTCCAATGCTTTTGGAAAGTGCTGTGTAAAATATAGCATCATAAATACTGTTTCTTTTTACACAAGTAAATGATTGTACCTAATTGTGTTGCTGCTGTCAAAATAAATGCAATATGAACTATTTATGTATTTGTTGAATCATTTTTTTTGGAATGCATTAACATCCATACAAATCTACAAAATAAACATTTTATTCTGCACACATGCAAGGTGCTGAATGAAAATATCCTCCCCCCAAAAATCAAAAAATACAACAAAAAACAGCTCCAAAACGCAATTTCAGGGAAAACTGAATTCAGCTGGTGGACAGGTAGAGTATTTAACCACCTTCCGCCCGCCATATAGTACAATGATGGACGCAAGGTGGTTCTCTCGTTCTAATAGGACGTCATATGACTTCCTTCCATTCTCAGCGCGCAGCACCGGCGATCGCCGGTGCGCTGTGTCCCTCGGACACAGCGGATCACGGAAAGAGCCGAAGATGTCGGCTCGGTCATGTGATCAGCTGTGTCCAATCACATGTAAACACTGAAATGCCAGTTATTGGCATTTCTATCCTCTCGAGCTGTCACGCTGATGATCAGTGTGGCCCCAGAAGTGCCAACTGTCAGTATCCATCAGTGCCACGTGCCACGTGCCAGTGCCCATCAGTGCCACATATCAGTGCATACCAGTGCACATCAATGCCACATATCAGTACCCATCTGAGCTGCCTTTCAATGCCACTCATCAGTGCCAGTCAGTGCCACCTATCAGTACCAATCAGTGCCACCTATCAGTGCTGCCAATCAGTGCCACCTATCAGTGTCACCCATCAGTGCCAGTCAGTGTCGCCTGACAGTGCCGCCTATCAGTGCCAGTCAGTGCCGCCTATCAGTGCCAGTCAGTGCCGCCTATCAGTGCCAGTCAGTGCCGCCTATCAGTGTCATGTATCAGTGCTGCCTTTCAGTGCCCATCAGTGATGCCTGTCAATGCCCATCAGTGCAACCTACCAGTGCCTCCTCATCAGTGCCACCTATCAGTGTCCATCAGTGCAGCCTATCAGTGCCCATCACTGCAGCCTCATTAGCGCACATCAGTGAAGAAGAAAAATCACTTATTTACTAAATTGTATAACAAAAACTCAAAATTTTCAGTGGTTTTTGGTTTAAGAAAAAATAAAAATCCCAGAGGTGATTAAATACCACCAAAAGAAAGCTCTGTCTCAAAAAAATGATAAACATATGGGTACAGTGTTGCATGACTGCACATTTGTCATTCAAAGGCTACGTTCACACTAGCCTTGTGTGCAGGCGGCAGAGAGGCGTTTGGGAAGCGTTTTTACCGCTTCCCAAACGCCTCTGCCAATTCTGCACATTACAGCACATGGTGCTGTTCTAACAGAAGCGTTTGCGTCGCGTCGCGGCAAAACGGACGCCTCTGGTCGAGTCAGGAGGCTTTGAAGCCTCCTATTCTCGTCTATGGTGCGGTTGCGACGCGGTTGCGGGGTGTTTGCGGAGCGGTAACACCACTCAAATGCATTATAGGCGTTTGTGGGGCGTTATTAACGCTCGGCAAGCGCCTAGCAACCGCCACTAAACCGCGCATGCGGAGCGTTTGCCGAGCGTTAAAAACGCTCCGCAAACACCGGACCAACGCTTGCCAAACGCTATAGGGGCGTTTGGCAAGCGTTGGCAAAACAGCCTAGTGTGAACGAGCCCAAAGTGTGACAGCGCTGAAAGCTGGAAATTGGCCTGGGCAGGAAGGGGGTATAAGTGCCCTGTAGGCAAGTGGTTAATATGTCAACCTGGGCCTTTGTTTTTTTTGTTTTTTTTATTCATTCACTAGTTGCAATCTGAGGAACTAAAGTCAAATAGTTTTCATAATAAAAATATTGCACATAAAAGATAATCTATTTGCATATGTGGGAGCCATCATTGTGCATATAAATTAGTGTCCACACAAATGGTCTCAGGACCAGCTCTCAGATTGCAATTGTGTCATAACATTTGCATGCTCCAGAGACATAAGAACAAAAGTTCAGTTCCTTGGCCAAAAGTAAACAGCATCTGGAGGCAGGTGACACTTACCAAAATCAAAAACACCAAACTGCACGTATTTAGTTGTGCAATCGACTACTTCTGCCTCTCGACTGAAGAGGAGGAGGCACCGTTGCTGGCTATGTTTGCCAGAGCCTTCTGCAAAGCAGAGAAGATGGATTCGCATGGCTTTTTTGGACCATACGCATATTTGCAGTAAGTCCATTGCATGTTTCGCTTAGGGCAGGGGTGGGTAACTGTGGCCCTCCAGCTGTTGGTGAACTCCCTTTGGGAGTCATGCTTGTAACTGTCAGTTTTGCAATGTGTCATGGGACTTGTAGTTCAACAGCTGGAGAGCCACAGTTGCCCACCACCCCTGGCTTAGGGCAAGAAGCAATTATACACCTCTATGAGCTCATCCCTACCCTCAAGGAGCTTACATTCATACTACTGCCAATAAACCTACTAGCATGTCTTTGGACTGTGTGAGGAAACCCACACAGGAACAGAGAGAACATACAAACTCCTGGTACGTGGTGCTATGGGTGGGATCTGAACCAATGACCCTGGTGTTGCTAGGCAGAGGTGCTAACCACTAAACCACTATGCTGCCAATAACATCAATTGGAATATATAGTAGTACCATGATTCAAGAATTAAAATATAGAATTATACATATATATAATAAGAAAATATGAATTAGACATTAAACATTCTTTGTCATATAACAGAGCTATAACGGTCATGGATTTGATTGGAAACCCCTTAACCAAAAAAAGAAGAGTGGCTTCCCTCCAAAATCACTAACGCACCCCTCTGAACATACAGTCCTGCAGGCTAGAAGAGAGGGGAAGAAGAGCAAGCCCCCCCTCCCCCACATACACACTTTTTATTTGCAATGTCAGCTCTTTTGTCTACATTATGTGAAACTTTCTAAAATGTATCAGATTCCAAAAAAAACACATATATAAACATGCATTTTTATTAGTTTAGGTACTTATATAGCGCCATCAATTTACACAGCACTTTACATACACATTGTACATTCACATCAGGCCCTGCCTTCAAGAAGCATACAATCTAAAGTCCCTAACTAACATTCATATACTAAGGACAATTTAGACAGGAGGCAAAACAAATGTCTTTGAAGCATGGGAGGAAACCCACAAAGGCAGAACACGCAAACTCCATGCATTTAGTGCCGTGGTCAGGATTCAAACTTGCAACCCTAGTGCTGATAGGTAGAAGTCCTAACTACTAAGCCACAATGCTGACCAGTGTCTAGATTATATAGTATCATGATTCAAGAATTAAGATATATAATTATAAGTAGATTAAAGAAAATTCGAATTAGTCATTAAAAATTAGTAGTCATATAACAAGTAATAAAACTGTAATTTTTAGATATATATTTAATTCGAAAATAGTATGCATTACTCTGTAACATTGATTAAAAAATGTATTTGTTTGCAGAACATGTAAAAAAACCACTATAAAATAGGAAAGAGAATTAATAATAGAATTAGCATAAAAAAAGCCAAACAACAAATCTCACCAGCCAATTGTTTCTTTTTTACACAAAGAAATGGGATCTTGGCTTAATGTGCCTACGCCCTCTAGGGACCAAGTTTAGCATAGCCTATTATGTAAAAGCTACTATGTGGAATTGACATTTACTAAAAGGCATTTTCCTAACTGAAGTCGCTTTTCCATTCAACGCAGCAAGTTCTCAATTGTTTCAATTAGGTGAAGTTTGGCATCTTAACATCTATTGCTTCACTTTATTCTTAGTAAATCAACCCCAAAGTGTCATTTACTTCTGCACTACTGATCACTGGGTCACTTACTACTGACCCTGTCACTTACTACTAACCACTGAGTGGGTAACCCAACATCTAATGATGGGCCCTAGCCCCTCCAATGTACCTTGGCAGATACTGTGCTGTACAATCTCTATTCAACATTGCCTTATTCACTACTATGAAAGTCGTATCAAACTCTATTTAACCAAACTCTTTTAAGACATTTCCATTACTTCTTGCAGTAAAAGCCATTACCACTTTTTGCCATGGTGCACTATGCTCACTGCATTTCTTTTTCTCAAGCAAAGGAGCCCAACTTTTGCACGCAGGCCGACTGCTTATAAAACAACCCTGATTGACTTATACTGACATCTTGAGGGAACCTCAGTTTAGTAGCTAGCAGTGATAAAAATGAATCATAAGAACAGAATGGAGGGACCTGTCTTACAATGTCTAACAATGTCTAAGACAGGTGAAACAGAGCTACTACCTCCTAATCATCTACAGCTTGCAAGTACAGGCTTCCAGCTAGGAAGGTCTCTGGTAACCTCCAATCTTCAAACAGTATATGAGGAAAGCAACGGCTATAATCATATGCTCTTTAATAAAGTTAGTGTGGCAAGTCATGTAAAAAACTCATCCCATTTCAGCCGTCAGTCCTTACAGTGGTAGTAAACCCACTTTGTATACAGTTGCAAGAAAAAGTATGTGAACCCCTTGGGATTATGTGGAGTTTTGCATGAATTGGGCATAAAATGTGCTCTGAACGTCATCTAAGTCACAACAATAGAAGAACACAGTCTGCTGAACATAATACTACACAAACATTAGATGTTGCCATGGTTTAATTGCACATAACATGTAAACATTCACAATGCAGGGAGGAAAAAGTATGTGAACCTTTGGACTTAATAACTGGTTGACCCTCCTTTGGCAGCAATAACCTCAACCAAACGTTTCCTGTAGTTGCAGATCAGACCTGCACAACGATCTGGAGTAATTTCGGACCACTCCTCTTCACAAAACTGTTTCAGTGTAGCAATAGTCTTGGGATGTCTGGTGTGAATCGCTCTCTTAAGGTCATGCCACAGCATTTCAATCGGGTTGAGGTCAGGACTCTGACTGGGCCACTCCAGAAAGCATATTATGTGCTGTTGCAGCCATTGTTTTGTTGAATTACTTGTATGCTTTGGTTCATTGTCCTGTTGCATCACCCATCCTCTGCGGAGCTTCAGTTGGCGGACAGATGGTCATACGTTTTCCTGCAAAATGTTTTGATAAACTCTGGAATTCATTTTCCCATCAATGACAACAATCCGTCCAGGCCCTGAGACAGCAAAGCAGCCCCAAACCATGATGCTCCCTCCGCCATGTTTTACAGTGGGGATGAGGTTTTGATGTTGGTGTGCTGTGCCTTTTTTTCTCCACACATAGTGTTGTGTGTTCTTCCCAAACAACTCAATCTTGGTTTCATCTGTCCACAGTATATTTTGCCAGTAGTGCTGTGGAACATCCAGGTGCTCTTTTGCAAACTTCAAACGTGCTGCAATATTCTTTTTGGACAGCAATGGCTTCCTCCGTGGTGTCCTCCCATGTACTCCATTCTTGTTTAATGTTTTCCTTATTGTAGATGTGTCAACAAAAATGTTAGCATGTGCCAGAGATTTCTGTAGGTCTTTAGCTGACACTCTGGGATTCTTCTTTACCTCATGCAGCATTCTGCGCTGTGCTCTTGCAGTCATTTTTACAGGACAACCACGCCTAGGGAGAGTAGCAACAGTGCTAAACTTTCTCCATTTGTAGACAGTCTGTCTTACCGTGGACACATGAACATCAAGGCTTTTGGAGATACTTTTGTAACCCTTTCCAGCTTCATGCAAGTCAACAATTCTTGATCGTAGGTCTTCTGAGAGCTCTTTTCTGCGAGGCATGGTTCACATCAGACAGTGCTTCTTGAAACCAGTAAACCCAAAACAGGTGTGTGTTTTTTAAGGGCAGGACAGCTGTCAGCAACACATCCAATATCATCACACTGATTGGAGTCAAGGTTGGCTCACTCCTGGCTCCAATTAGCTCTGGGAGAAGTCATTAAGCTAGGGCCTC